CCACAGCTGCGGGAGCTGCCAGGGGCGCGGTCGGGACAGTCGCAGGAGTCTCCTTCTCCTCCTGCTTCTGTTGTTTTTGTTCGGGCTCCTCATCTTCCTCCATCTGCTCCCAATCCTCCTCAGGGTCCTCAATATCCGCTTCGAGGTCGGCAGCCATACGGCAGTTTGGACAGACAAAGATGGGGTATTGGGGAGAATTCAGTAGAGACCGGATGCACTTGAAGTGCCAGGTATGCGAGCAAGGCGCCACGAACAAGCACTGGCACGGCTACAAGACAATTAGCTTGCTTGCCCGCAAGGAATGTGGGGATCCGTTCACACGGCGGCTACATACCGCGATAGAGTTGAGACAAATTGAGCAGTCCTGCGTCGAAGAATTCGCCGAGTTGGCTGCAGTCATGTTCCGCAAGCGCTTGTGCGTCGCCATGCTGCATGATGTAAGCGTAAGGACGGATACGGTCGAAATTGGTTCAACTTACTTGAACGTGTTCAACTTGTTCTGCCAGCCTCTGTTCAGCTCTAGCCTCATCTTGACGCAGCGGAAGATCATTTCCTCGCCGCCTTTGAAATCTATGCCGAGCTGCACAATGTCTCCATCATTGACGGGAAATGGCTTTGACTCCGTTCCCGGAGGGCTAAGTCGAATGTGGTTGAGGAAGGTGCCGGACGAGCTCTTGACATCCTTGATGTACCATTTGCCTTCGTCATACCAAAATTCGCAATGACGGCGGCTGACAACTTTGCTCTTGAACCCAACGGGCGCGGCCGAAGGGGTGTTGTTGGGGATGCTAGGCTGGTTATCCCGCTCAGAGTAGCGGCCGACCCTGATAATGTCGCCGTTGGAGGGCAGCGTTCTCGAGACTGGAGGGAAGGTCAGGCTGGGACGTGTCGCGCGCGGGTCATAGTAGGCAGAAAATCGGATCGAAGGTAGATTTTCGGGCGCGGGGGTGGCTGCGACAGGGGCATCACCCGTGGTAGAGGCGCGTGCTCTCGTCATGTTCGCGGCTTCAGCGTCGTTGGTCGACTGCGGCTGCTGGTCAGATTGCTGCCGTATGTGGCTGCTGGTGCTGCCGCTGGCAATGACGTCGTCGAGAATAGAGGGGAGTGCATCCACTGGCGGGCGCTCGACGGCAGGCGAAGAGGGCGTGGTGGAAGCCCTGTTGGCGGAGGAAGTTGACGATGATGGTGACTCCTGTAGTGAGGCGACGAGCGACAGAGGGTTCAAATGGGCGTCGGTGTCGGAGCGACGAGGGGTTGAAGTAGGCGAATAGCTGAGAGAACGCTGCAGACCGGGGGTTGGGCGACTAGAACCTGAACGACTGCTGTGGTGGTTTTGATTTTGAGTTTGAGTTTGAGTCTGAGAGTGCGGGCTGGTGCCGGTGTTGTGGTGAAAGTGGGAGTGGGCGGCGACGTGAGAATGCGAGTTTGATGTTGGAGAGTTAGAGCCCTGGCTACTATGTTCTCGGGACAAAATATGATTTTGAGTGTAGCTGCGGAGATAACTGAGGCCTCTCAGGCGACTGGATCGTGTCGAGGGTGAAGCGGGATTGGTGACAGACGTCGGCACGGGGCCCACGGTCGGTGGCGATGCGACTGGTTGTGTAAACATTTGCGCCTCGAGGGGGGAGGGGGAGCCTGGGAGGATAGAAGAATGGGTTGGTGTTTGTTAGGCTGTACTGTTTTTGGCGGTGGGTGCAATAAGCAGTAGTGGCCGCCGCAGGGTTAGAATCCGTCTGGAAATCAGGCGGTAGTGTCGCAATGGTGCCGGCTCTCGACTCGTGGGTTTCGGCTGGCGGTCTGGCTGACTAGCTGGCTGAATCACTGGGCGTCGGCGGACTTGTCTGAGTGACCTATTTTGCTTGGTTTTTTTGTCTTTTGCCTGTCCCTTGGAGAACGGGATTGTGGACTGCCTTGTTGGGGGTGTCTCTCTTGGGGTGCAAATAGAGAGTGAGGGCGTCAAAGAAGCTATGGGAAGAATGTGGTGAAGGGGTGGAATAAGAGAAAGAGAGAGGGATGGGAGAGGGAGCGGAGGACGTCTAGACGGCTTGTGTTTGCTTGGAATGTCGCTGGATCCTGTCTGGAAAGCAATCTACGGTGCTCTCTTCTACTCCGTACTCTGTATTCCGAGTTCCTATCTGTCAAGGCGTGAACCAGCGAGGCAAGGCGAGGTTGGACAGAGGGACCAAAGGGACGAAAAGGACCAAGGAGGAATCGTCAAGACGGGAGGGAGATGGGAGGTAAGGTCCGAGGGTCAGAGATGAGAGAGATGAATGGTATTATGGACCAAGAAAAAGCAGATTACGCCCGAGATCAGAAAATGGACCTGGGGAAGACGGTTTTTTTAGTCTGGACGACAAGCGGCAAGGCCTTGGAAAGTTGGACCTGGGAGAAAGTCGCAAGTGAAGGATGCTTGAATGTCTGTGGTGCTCGGCTGGATTGGGGAAAGGGTCAGTATTTCGGCTTTGGAGCCAAGAAGGACGGGCGTCGACTTCTTCTTGTTGCTCGTCGTAATCGTCAGTGTCAGTCCCAGTTGGGTCAAGTGGCTAGAGGAAGAGCCCGGACAGCCAGATGGACTAGGCGTGAAAGCAGTGCGCCGCGGCCGTGGACGGTGAGGTTGGACGAAAGAAAGTGGCCAGGCCAAAGAAAAGGTACTTGTGGTGGTCCTTGATGGAAGTACCTGGGCAGGGCACGATGGGGGGGCGGGAGACACGAGACGACTAGCTTTAGGTGTATCCGTACTGTAGACTACAGATAGAGTGCTTCGTACAGAGGACCGTACCTTAGGTGGGACGCAAGCCAAAGAAGAGAAGAATTGGTCTCGATGCTGGGCCTGGCGATGAAGCAAGGGCCTCAAGGACAGGGCAGCTGGGCAGTGGGAACTTGAACTGGTACGAAGTGCAATCGTCCAGGTCAGCTACTTGGACGTAAAGAGAACAAGTCGGGGTCCAGCCCAGTCGGTCAGCTTTTCGTTGGCGCGCGTGCCACTATTTTTTTCTTCTCTCTCCTCCCGACTGCCTCTGCTTGGAGGGTAAGGGGGGCGATTATGGGGATAATGACGACGTCTGGGCTCTCTGGCAAGCAACAGCAACAGACACACGACCAGGGCGAGGGGGCCCGTATTAGGTAGTGTGGCAGTTACCGTGCGGTAGGGGTTGAGCCTTGATATGTGCGTGTGTCCTCGTCTTTCTGGGCCGGGAAGGGCAGGGGACGTTGTTGTTGCGGCGTTGCCTTTGGTTTAGGGCCGGACAGAAGACTGGCTAGAGGAGTGAGGGAACGTAAAGGCGAACCGGGGCCAGGGGTGCAATGGAAAGGATCCAACGCGCCTGGATATGCTTGCTGCAAGCGTGTGGGTTGGCCGGGATATCCAGTGGATGCGGACGGGTACGCAGTAGTGTAGGTACGCTACTATTCGTGCCTACGAATACAGATGGACGTCGGTGTGGCACACATGGAGTTGCTCATGGGAAGAAATGCCGTGACCGACGACGTCGATGATGTCTAATGATGATACAGCAATGAGGCCGCGTTGCTGCCACTGCCATGACCCCGTGTCTCTCTCCCGCCGGTTGAGTGTTCAAGTTGCAACAGATCGAAGAGCACATGGGCGCTGCTGGGCGCTGCTACCGGAGGGATGGGTGTCGAAAGAGCCGTCTCGGATTCTGCATGCGCCTGGAGGCGGGCAGTCAAGTCAATTCTTTGAAGCGGGAGATGCGCGACTGCCATGTACAGAATAGTTAGAAGAAGCAACGAGAACGGCGGAGCACAGACACATGGCAGGGTCATTTGGGTTGGGGGGTCTCAGTGTCAAGCCCAGCGGCAGCCAGCTCCGCGAAGCTGGATCAAAGCTAGATCAAAGTTCCGTCATCGGAGGGGAATACCTTCGGTAGCCGGAGACGATAGACCGGATGCGTCGCCAGTACTGTGGAAGGTTGAGTATCAGTAAAGTGAGGTGGATGTTGAGGCATTTGGAGTTGGGTGGGAAGCTTGAATGGAAGAGACGGAAGGAAGATTAAAGAAGCGTCGGAGATACACCGGCCACATTGGTGAAGGGCGGCGGAAAGATCTGGGAATCTGAGATGAAGTGGTGGAAAGTCCGCCCAAGTGCACCTGCCTTCACTTACCTTAGGTAGCACGAAACGCACTCGCACCTTCTTCATCCCAAGTTGCATTTTGGCTTTCTCGATCGTCAACCACCGGGACCACCCAAAGTTGGACAAGGCAGGTGCTCTGTCTCGCCTTCTTTCCGCGGAAGCACGGGGCTGCAACACGAGACGAGAGACACTTTGGCGCTCAATGGAAGGTGCTATCCGTACACGCCATACCTAGGTTAGGTACCAAAATGAGGAAGTCGAGTAGGTACCGGTGTGAAGGCAGGAAGGAGCACAGGAGGTGTCTGCATCTGCGAGATGGCCAATGCTTCAGATCGCGCGAAGTGAGGCAGGCACGATCATCTCAAAAAGGATCGGCGACCAAAGTGCACGGGTTGGCACTGGCCAGGCTGAATCACCATCTGCAATGCCTCTCCCAATTTTCTCTCTGCCTCGTTGCTGCTCATTAAGATCAGGGCATCTCACGATCTTCCCTCCGAGCTTGTCATCATCTATGGAGACCTCTATGCAAGGCAAACATAATGGCATTTATAATGCTAGGTGATTACTCCGTAGGGTAATTACATAGTCAAAGAGTGAGCGAAAAAGGGGGTCGGCAACGTCCGAGCAGTTACTAAGACCGCATTACGACACCTTCCCGCAATGCTCCATGAAATGAACACGATCCATCGTGACTTGTACCTGCCTTGGTCCAATGCGACGGCAACTCCCACCCATAGCCTACCAGCAACAGTGCTGTTAGACGTCTTTCCAAGTTTCTCCATCAAATGCAGACATCAGAGCAGACATCGGCAGAGAAAAGAACGCGCCATGTTATTTCCGGCCTTCCCGTCGCCTACCGTCATCTCTCCACCAAAAAGAGGGAGTGAAAACACCGTCTCCATCAACACCATGCCCTTCAACCTTGGAATAACGGCACAACAGGGCCACCACCAGCCTCCTGAACCGCGAACACTGGACATGACAAGGTCAGCTCACCTCTTCACCTTGCTCCCACTCACATTCCTCGCGGCCTAACCTACGGATATCTCCCCTATGGAAGATAGCAGCAGTCTTTGGATACCTCATAATCCGCTTTGCCCACTTCTTTAAACCCCCGCCGCCCACGGCACCACTGCACCGCTGTCATGGACGGGAGTGATTTGACATGCAGCCGACCAGCATACCGCCGGCCCATTCGCTGGGTTTCTCTGCAGTCTACACCTGCGTCCGCAGACTCTCGAGTGACCTCTCCACCAGGAGCGCCGCGTGAGTGGTTTGAAGCCCTATGGCCTCCCCCGTCGTCTTCAAGCTCCAGGTTTTCCATGGTTAGATACGCCGCACGCGAGAGACAATGGCGAACCATATTCTCAGGGGGCTGTTCACGCTAACGCAATCACCAGATTAGCGGCCTTCCACCTCCCTAGCTCCCTGAATAGACCCTTCGACCCTCCGTTGAGGGTTGCGTCCGAAGAGCCCAAGACCATCGACTTTGCCAAGGTTACCTTACCTAACCGAGAAGATCAAGGTACTTTGCTCGTTTTGCACTGCAAGTACCTCCTTCGCCCACGATCAAGGGCAGGGAACCTCAGGCCCACCGACTGGCACCGAGGCGTGTGGCCGAGAACCCCCGCCACCTCCGTCCGTCACTCTCTTCTTCCCATGCCGTCCCTTCACTTGGATCGCTATCGTGATTGGGTCCAGGAAATCTTCCCCCGCCGGAAGTCCATCAGAAGGCTGGGAATCCCACCTCGCAGGCTCGACTCTCTCTGTGGCGCCTTCGTGCACAAGGATCCTACTGTTCCCAAGGCAAATCATACTACGTAAACTTCACGAAACCACGGCTCCCTGCCTGTCTTGATCGATGGTCGTTTCATCACAGACTTTCTCCAACATGGATGAAAGCTGAATGACGATGTGGGAGTTAAACCCGCCATGCTCAGGAATGCGGTCTCTCTGCCACTGACTCGTCCGGTCCGTCATCCACCGTCCCGAGCCTCATCCGACTCACCACCACCACAACGCTTGCGACACTGCGAAAACAAAAGCAAACTCTGGGACATGTCCATTCCGTTCCGCCATACCTCTCGACACCAGATGTCAACTGTCTTGGCGGAACTAGAACCACAATTGAGAAATTTTCTAGAAGGCCGAGAGCTCATCAGAAACACGGATCCGAACCCGATACTGCCTGCTGAATCAACGAGCGAATTTTCGCTGGCCGCCTCGCTTTGCCTCGCCACCTCGAGTCGGCTTCCTCCTTGTCGTGAGGAGGCCTTGCCAAGACCATTCACTGGCGGCACACGCCTCAGCTCATGCACCCTCCGATTCTTCTCCGGCGCCGAGCCCGCTGTGGACCCTAATTCCGTCCGTCTTTGCCTACAGCTCGCTCTTTGTGGGAACCTATTCCCGGACGGCTGCTTTCAGCACTATGACTGTTTTGCAGTTTCCATTGTCTAATTGCCTTCGTCTAATCTTGGTCAAATGCAGGCTTAACGCACGCCCAGAGATGAGGATCTAGATCCGCCTTTCCCGGCAACTCGGTCACAGTGATCAGCACTTGACATCGCTTGCTCAAGGAGACGCCACCCGCCAGTGACCGATTGCAATCAGCACGTCTTACGTCCCTGGGCAGACGTAGTGTACTGAGGTGGACCACTAACACCGCTGATAGCCCAAGGAGTCGGCCAAAGGTGACTCGGGGTTGTTTCTCCTTGCCCTCCATCACAAGTCACTAGGGCGTCACAGAACGAAACTCAGTATTCACTGTCAGCCACCCACTTGCATCCGTAGTAACCATCTCTGCGTAAAGACGAACCTGCTTCAACCGATTTTCGCTCATGCTTTGTCGCTCCCGAGCAGACATGTTCAGAAAAAACCTTTTGCGCATAGCAAGGCATATTGGACCGTCGTCGCCCCCATGCTCCTTCAATCCTCCGAGATGGTGCCCCCGCAAACCTAATACCTGATTCATGAAGACCTCCCGCCAGAGCCGCCCTAGGTTCAACCTGGAATCTTGCTCTCTGCAATGCTCCCTGGTGTCCCATCTGAGACCATGGCCCCTGGCTCGTCGCTTTGTTCCACATACGCACTCTCACTACCAAAAGGGGCGTTTGTTCCTGGACCATAATCCGATTGTTTGCCCTTCGACAAACTGGCATTCAAAAGCAAAAAGCATCAAACCTCATCCGCAGCGCTATCTTCGCTCACAAGAACCCGCCGTCGAACACCGGGGCCCGTGTCGGCGTGGCGGCGCGCCCGTCTCCCGTGGTTCGCCCACGTGTAGATCAATCTGTCACGCGACCTCTTCATGCCCTCTCTTAATTTCCTCTTGTAAAACCTGCCGGGCAAATTAGGCTTACTGACAGTCTCAAGACTCCAGACTGTGTTAGACATCTGCCAAGCCAAGCTGTATCCGGAAGCAGCCGTCAAAGAACCGATATAAGCCTGTCAGACAGCTAGACGATCCGGCACATCTAGCAGACCTAGGGCTTGGCATGGCCTGAGTTTTCCCTTTGGCATGATCGGTCGTGAAGACTTCGACAAAGCTAGAAACTACGTTACGCGCACGCACGTCCTGGACCTGGGGAAATCCTAGTTCCCGACCAGCTGGTGGGCAAGCTTACCCCGGATTGAAGACGGCGCCCATTCCCATTTGTACATCGCCTCAAACGTAACCCCTCAAGGAAGCGGCTCTTCCTCTTCGACAGCAGCCATAGAGCATCACCTTAATTCTGCTCAGATTACATATGGTATGGTAAGGAGGAAGATTAAAACACCGACAACAACCCCCTTTAACCCTGACCACCCCCCGCCCCTCCGTCTTCGTCTGATCTCATCATCATCTTCGTCCCTCAAATAAAGCGCCAAATGCTTCGCCTATCTCGCCTTCGCGAAAAAAACAATCGCCAGCCTCACTTCTTGAAAACCGCAGCCCCGAGCTTCTCAATCTCCCGCCCCTCCTGCGTTCCCCGTCCCGCCGCCTCGAGGAGCCTACCCCACGCCTCGGCGTCCTTGAGCTTCACCGCCTCCTCCGCAGCCTTGACCCGCATCCCGCACTTTTCGTACATGGTAATCGTCGTTCCCGGTTCCAGACCCGTGCACTTTGGCACAAAGACCGCCGCCAGCCGCGGGTTGCCCGCCTGCAGCGTGAGGTTGTAAAACGGCTGCGCTCGGAGGTTAGCTTATATCCTTTCCGTCGTCCGGTTTGCAGTAGAGTGTAATTCCGACGTGGTTCACGGAGAACAGCGGTACGCCGAATACGCGGATTCCTTCACGGTTTTGTGACGGTGTGTAGTAGATTGTTTGTGAAGAAAGCTTACCTCCCACCCGATCGGGCTTTTTCTCGTCTTTGCGAGCTCTTCAATCTCGTTCCAGTCTCGCTTTGCAACGAGGGCGCGTAGCCTATTGTAAAGAAGAAGGTAGGGGTTAGCAATCGTATAATGCCTCTGTCCGTCTTGGCGAGGGAATAGGGAGGGGTAGCCGAATAGACTGAAACCGTGGAAGAGCAAAGACATGGAGAAAGAAAGAAACCACTAACCTGAGCCACCAAGCAACCTTCTCCGGGACCTTGAACTCGCTCTGAATCTTTGTCGCGCGCTTGTGGTACCCCAGCCGAATAAGCTTAAACATGGTCTCGTTGACGCTGAGCCCCGTAAAGGTGTCAGTCAGATCGCGGTCAAACGCCTCCTGCATCTTGAGCAGCGTCTGCGCCTCCTTGAGAGCGTGCACCTCGAACGACGCCTCGCGGGAGTCGGAGAGCAGCTTGGCGGCGAGGGCGAGCTTGTCGGATGCCGTGCGGGCGTCGGCCTGGGCGAGGGACTCGCGGATGAAGACGCTCGCGCCGTCGACGCGGCGGTCGTCTTGGTAGTACAGATCCTTGAGGAGTGCGTTGTCGCCCTCGCGCGCGGCCGAGGACTCGACGAGCGCGGTGGCCGCGGGGCGGGCGTTGATGACGCGGAAGAAGGCTGCCAGCGGGAGCTTCTTCTTGAGCTGGAGGAGGACGGTGTATATGAGGTCCGTGTCGCCGCTCTCGATTGCTTTATCGAGGGCGAGCTCGTCTTCTTCCATGCTGAGGAGGAGGGGTACCTGCCGGCCGCCGCGTGGTTCGTGATTGAGGAGCTCGGTGGCGAGGCGGCCTCGTCCTTCGTCGTAGGCTGCACGGGCGATTTCTTCAAAGGAGATGCCTGGTTTGCCCGAGAGGCGCTCGACGACGAGGCGGCATATCGTGTCGTCGTCTTCGGTGCCGGAGCGGACTTTGGCGGAGGCCCAGTGGACGTAGATGCGGTCTGTGGGGAGGCGGAGGTAGCCCGCGATTTTGAGGGCGAGGAGGTACTCGTGTCGGTTGATGAGTCTCTTTATCAACCCTTCGGGAGTAAGGCGCTGGTACTGGTCGAAAGACAGGGGCAGGCCGACCTCAAAGAACCGTACGGCGTTGAGGACGCGAAGGATCTCGCACATGTCGACGAACTCGTCGCTGTTGTAGATGTCGAGGACGGACTTGCCAAAGGAGGCGGCTTTCAGGAGCTGCTTCTGCCAGTGGACGCTGAACTCGCGGCCGGCGGCGTTGACGCACGTGTCGACGGCCTCGGTGAGGTTGGCGCGGATGAGCTGGATGTAGTCATCTGCCTTGGGGGACTGGAGCTCCAGCTGGCCGACGGCGTCGAGAAGGATGGAGGCCGCTGACGACTCTGCGCGGGTGCCGAAGACGTCTTCTGTGGCGTGCGGGACGCGTTCGAGAAAGTCGCATACGTCGTTTGTAATGAGCCTTGCGCCATCGTTTTCTTGGTGTTATTGTTAGATGATTTTGAAACCAGAAGTAGTTATTCAAGAGGTGAACTTACCAGAGATGACGTGAACCCGCCCATCGTAAAAGAATTCGGCCGTCGCGCTGTCAGGCCCGATAATGTGCACCTCATCCTCCCACGCAATCAGGGCATCGGAACCGCACCACTCCACATACTTTGGCGGAATCCTCGACTGCGAATCGTGCTCCACCAACCGCTCCTGGAAATCGCTTGATATAACATGCGCCTTCCCCGTCTTGGTATACAACACAATCAGCCTCCCATCAGGTGAGACGCTGATGTGGCTAAACGGTCCAATATCCAGGAACCGATCCTCGCACTCAGCCGCGTCGGCAACATATACAGTCTCCCCGATACTCAGCAGCACCTCAACTGACCGCGAAAGCGTGTGATCAGGCGAGACCACAGCCCACGCGTGGATCTCGCCCTGGTCCTGCGGCGGCGCGGCGAGCAACTTGGGCCGCGGCTCCGCGTACGACGTGACGGAGACGAGCGCGTTGCCACCGAGCAGAGCAACCATACCCGTCTCGTAAAACCGGCACCCGACGACGCCGACCTCGTCCGCGCCGTTGCCGAGTGAGAACTGCGTGAACTCGCCTTGGAGATCATACACCCTCACCGTCCCGTCCGCCGTGACGACGAGCAGCTTCTCCTCGCCGCCTTGGACGCTCGCCCATCCGAGCCCCTTGATCGCGCCGGAGCCTTGGTCCCACGGGATCCTGCGGAGGAGTTTGCCGGCGTACGAGTAGATGTCGATGCCGGGCTTGTTGCTGTTTGATGAGCCGCCACCGGTTTTGCTGTTGCTCGGGGCGGCGCGAACGGCCTGGATCTTGGTGTCGTCCCGTAGGAGGGCGAGGGCGCCGCCGTAGGGGGCGCCAGCGACGATGTAGTTGTCGAGGTCGAGGTCTTGGTCGAATACTTCGGTGTAGAGCTGGACTTTACGGTACCATTTTTCGCCGACGTTCTCCCATCCTGCCGCGGGGTGGGATGCTTCCATCATGTCATCTTCCTCGGTCGCCT